AGTGGTCTAAAAAAAATGCGATACTTTTTATAATTTGATTTTATTATTAGACCGCACATTAAGAAATATTTACATAGCACCATACTATAAAAAGTCACTTCACATATGAAGAAATTACACATAAAGGTGTCTTCTACATAGTGGTATAACAAAATGCAATACTTTTTATAATTTGATTTTATTATTAGACCGCACATTAAAAAATATTTACGTAACACCGTGCTATAAAAAGTCACGTATATTATATCATATCAAACTTATAGAGTAATAGTTATTTTTAATGTATCAACTTAAACAAAACATAATATGGTGTGGCTTTCATAATGATTAAGACTTATGTAAAACATATGGAGAGAGAGACATTTTTAAGCATTAATATTTTTATGTATGAATTAAACAAAACATAATAGGGTGTGAATTTTGTAGGGGTTAAGACATTATGTACAACTTATGAAGAGATAGCTATTTCTTATGTATCAATTAAGAAAAATATAATAGGGAATGACTTTCATAATGATTAAGTCATTGAATAAAACTTATCGAGGGATAATCGTTTCTTATGTATCAATTAAAAATTATTATGCAAGTCTTTCGTAATATAAATTGTAATGATATTTTAAGGTTGATCATCTCATCTATTTTATTACACAAAAGTTTTATAAGCTTAGTTATATTTTGCATAATAGTTTAATTAAATGTGATACTCTTCTTAATTTAATTCTCTAATTATTTATTAAAATTTCTTTATTATTAACTACGATATTCAATATCTCATCAATTTGCATTACAAAAAGATTCCATAAGGTAAATTAACTTTTACATAATAAATATGATAACTTTTTTAATTTAATTTTATTATTAGACCACACATTACATAAACTAAATTATAAATACATTACGTAAAATGGAGGGTAGTTATTTCATATATTTTAGTTAAGCAAGTATATTACATAATTCTCACCACTGTGAAGCGCGGGTCAAAAAACTAGTATATTATATTGACCATGTCGAAATAGAAATGAAGAGAATGGAAAGTTGTCGATGATAGATTAGCTTGAGTTGATAGAAATTGGTATTCAACATAAATGGTGAATTAACAAGAAACCGTTATTAGTTTGGTTTTATTCAGTTTCGACAAACTCAAACCTAAATCTAACTGTAATCACCTAAATTTTAACGTTCTCGCTCACACATAAAATTTTATGTAGTCTATTAGGTACAAATGGATTGAATCAGGTGGCACGACTTTAGTGGGGTTTAGCCTTTAGGCTTGTTTTTTGAACCCCCAAATAAAATGACACAATTGACAGCTATTTAGGCATTCATTTAGTGTGCTACAAGTAGACGATTTGCAATATTCTAAGGCTGTTGAGGAAGTTGGAAGCTTGTTCGGTGCAATGGTGTAAAGATAAGTAAAAAGAACACCATCAAAGAGAGAAAAGACTATTCTGAACAGATCGATTACCTCATCAACAAGGGAAGGAATGATGTTGGAGTGAGAAGGCAGATGAGCACAATCCTGATCATATCTGGAATAGAGAGGATGGAATTCGAAGGCACGAAGGGAAGGTTTGGTAGCCAACAGCTGGATCATATTAGATTAGAACAACAACACTTCATCAATTAGGTCAATCCAGTTGACCTTCTCCAGACAGTCAACTTCGGCTTCCTGGATAACAATGAACATATCTGGACTCTCTTGGGCAAATATTGCAGTTTTAAATACTAATAACTATACATCAGCTGAAACAAATCCTTACATATTAAGGATTGGGAACATCAGAGGGACTCTTCAGGTCCCAACGAGGCACCATAAGTTTCTGTCCGTTGGGGTGCAGAACTTTGGATTACTAAGCTGCGACGAGACAATCAAGAGCATCATGGTGAAGGATTCTCCAGTGCAGATCATGGAGAGCGCTGTAATAAGTTCATTCTTCAACTCTCCTTGCTTGTAAGCGTTGAGCTTTGCCGAAGCACTCTGGTGTCGAGGCAACTTTTCAGCGCATAAAATCAAGTTATCGAATCCCCAGCAAACAGAATGTCACAAATCTTTTGCTCAAGGGGAACATTATCCCGACGAGTACCCTGACTCCATAAGCTATTCTTTTCCCTCCTATAAACTTCTACTTCACTTGATCTACCCAACTTTTCGAGACCCGCCAACAGAATTCTGTACGTTCCTAATGAAGGCAAAATGCCTCTCTTTCTCATCGCTTCAAAAGTCTTGAGCGCCTTCTCTGCAGTACCAGCAGAGAAGTGTACACTAATGAGAGCAGTGTAAGTAGCAGCGCAAATCTCGTCATTAGGCAACAAACCGAACAACTTTGCAGCACAAGTGGGTCTTCTAGCTTTCCCAAGCCTGTATATAAAAACAGAACTTAGATAGATTCCAAGAGAGTGTCCTGAATTGATCATTTCTCTGACAATCTCAAGTAACTTATCGAACATATTCGATCTCATCACCGTTCCTGTTAAACCAAGATATGCTGTTCTTTCAAGTCCCACTCCCATTTTCCTGCTGCATTCAAATCCTAATAAAGCACCGTCCAGTCTGTCAAGTTCGCAATTCTTCTCGACGACGTATGAAACAGTCCAAGCATCCAACAACATGTTCTTATCCATCATATAAGTAAGTAATCGGTCCACTGCAATGAGACTTTTCTTCGTCAAGAGAAAATTAACAAGGCCACGATCTATAAGATCATCTGCAGAAGTTGTGGAAACAGAAGCTTCGTCAAAGCAATGAGGATTGACTAGCCTGAGGAGGGCTTCGCTCTCGCCAGCAACTTGTAGAGTCTTCGATGCTTCCAGGAACACAGAGTACCGAAGAACGATTCGATTCTCTTTCATATAATTAAGAATAGGAATCACTGTCTTGGTCTCTCCCTTGGCACAACATTTCTGGATCAAAATGTTGCATGCAGCTTTGTCCGGCTGCACTCCTGCTTCTTGCATTGTGTTGAAAATGTTAAGAGCCTCTTGGTACTTGCCTAAAAACCCATCATAGAAAAGAAACTCAGAAGAAAAAGGGTACAATCTACAAAGCTCAAATAGTCAACAAATCTCCATAAAGCTCCAGTCTTTTCTTCGCAAATCAACTTACCAGCAACAACTAGGTGTTCCATCAGCACAGTATACGTATGACAATTGGGAGTAATTCCAACTTCAAGCATCTCTCTATACACATTTGTCGCCTCTTTCACCCTCCCACTATCAAACAGAATCTTCACAAACGCAGTATACGAGACCACCGTAGGACGACACCCTTGTTCGTTCATCTCCTCCCAAATCCTCACCGCCCCGTCCACATCACCTGACTTCGAAACCCAATGCATAACCGAAGTGTACGTCGCCGCGTCAATCTCAATCTCTCGTTCACGCATTTTATCGAACACGTAGCGGACGGATTCCATCCTCCCGGCTTCCCCAAAAATGTCGAGCATCGTCGTGTAGGTAAACTGGTCGTGCTTGAACCCTTGCAGCTTCGAGGCCGCCCAGTTGAAAAAGAGCCAGGCTTTCTCCATGGGCGGGTGGGTTTTGAGAACCCGGTTCACCGTGTACGAGTCCCATTTGATTCTGAGGTTGGACAGCTGATCTTGCGCGGCCTCCCAATCGGAATACTTCAGGATTCCGTATATGTTGTTGATGGTGGTTCGCATGTAGGAGTTGGGTCCTTCTAATTCCTTTCTTCGCGGGGACTTTAGCGGCCGTCTGGAAGCTCTGGTGAAGCGTTTGATCGGCTTCCGGCGAGGTGATTGGTGGATGTGGATAAAATGGGTGAATCTGAAGAGAGTCAAATGCTTGACGGGAAATCGCTTGAACCCATTGGGGCAAAACATTTGGGTTATCGCGCTTCACTGAAATGAAAGATTCCTGTTTTCTTGCAACAGGGAATTCTGTCGTTGATTGCTTTTGAGTTTTGAGTTAACGGTCGGTGGCTGGTTGGAACTTGGAAGCCTGATGGCGGGAGGGGAGAACTGAGAATTAAAGCGAGGAACTGGAAGACAGCGGGCGGAGTATGAGAGGGCTTTAATGTGGGCCGACATTGGCAATGAGCTCGAGAGATTGGCCCAGTAGCCCCGCCCGGCCCAGACCACCTGTTAGGATTTTGACACTGTTGTAGTCTTAAAAAAAAACATATGATTGGTTCACAAGAAGAAAAACATTCACATAAAAGAAAGCAAGAAAACAAATTGAAAATCAAGTAGCACCAATCCATCACCAAGCACATTGCAATTGGTAAGAAATCTCTTTCATTTCGATTCACGTGTCTTGTGATGTGATTAGGTTTTGAGAACAAATAGTTATGGTTGATAGGATGGTTTTAACAACTTTCTCTCTTCAATTTTCAATTGAAAATTTATATTGAAAATTGTTTACGAAAAAGTTCAGAAAACTATAGCATACAATACTAACGAGGTTTAATACTCCGAAGAAAACTAAATAAGTAAAAAACACTCGATCTAACTCAATAATGAATATATAATGAAAAAAAATAAATTCAATACCTACCAAGTTATGTTCACCTTCACTTCTCTTATTGAGCAACTGTCATCTATGATCACTTGTGAGTTGTGAAAAGAAGAGTCTTTCTATCCAAGTCCTAGAGTCATACTCTGATTTCAACCTTTCCAACTCTCTGGCTTGAGCTGAGCAACATTAAACTGGACCAGAATCCTCTTCATTTTTAGAATACACATGCAATACAGGTTCCTCAATGACAAATACGTAACTGCATTCTATTGAACTTCAACAATCACACTCCTCAATCAAAATCACAATATCATACGTCTCTCCAATACAACTCATGTTAAAAGGGTAGGCTACAATAAAGAAAGAACCCAACAGCTTCTTTTCATGAAAAGAAAGCCTCCTGCATTAGAGGAGATGTATCACTAAGAACAACAATAGATATCTCTGTATATGGTAAATAGATGATTTAGGTTGCAAGTTAATGGCACGTCTATCACTTGAAAGAAAGAATGTTTCAGCAAAGATCATCATTGTCCTGGATACCTGATAATCCTCTGCAAGATAACAGTCCTTGCCTGGCTAATATCCCTGCTACACTTTCGCGTGTGCTCCGCTAAAGCATCAATGGTCTCATTAAACATCTCCAGCTTCTTCTTAATCTCATCAATCACAAGCTTCACAGCAACTTCTCCTTCATCCTGCAGAGCAAACTCGGCGTTCTGTACCAAACCCTCTATTTCAACTTCCAATTTCCCCACAAGCACCCTTATAGTATCCATATCCTTAATCGTTATGAAAGTCCCCACCTGCATTATACTAACCAACTCCTTCTGCCCTTTCAATGCCTGCATATACTTGTTCCACAGATTATTGCACCACTTCCCAATCGAACCAATCGGAACAGTCAACGCCCCAGCTAATGCTGTGATGACTGGCGGTGCAGCGATAGCAGCTGCCACCACCGAGAAAACAAGCACCGAGACAAATGCAGAGACGAACAGTACATTCGTTACCATCCTCCATTTCTTCATCGTCTTGATCTTCTTATCGAGCTTTGTCTTCCTACGTTGCAGCTTTTCGAGCATTGAAATCTGCTGCCTGTAAACCTGCTGAAACAGATTGAAGAACTCTTCAGTGAATGGATTCTCTGCATCTTTAAACATCCGGAGCTCGTGCAATGTCTTTGCAAACCCTACTTGCAAAGGACATTCTTCCTCGAACTGTTTGACAGCAACTTGGACAAGAAACTGGCTATTACGAGCTTGCTTGAGGCAGTTCTCGAGGACGGCACAGAAGTCTATGGTCTTGATGCTGTTATCAAAGTACTCCTCTACCAAATCGAACAAGTCATCATCTTTCCACACGTCTCGCTTGCAGTCAAGTATGACTTTGACTACCTCCTGGTTCATGTCAAGGAGGCAGCTGGTGACCTCTTTGAGTGAATCAAAGGACAAGGATCTGACCTCGACGGTTGTGGCAAGGCTGTTGATGACTCGATTGGTTTTCTCGTGGAGGGTTGCATCGAATGCCTGCAGTTCTGGATCGGTTTTGCAGGCGTCTTCGTAAGAGGTCAATGCTGCTGACATGTGGTGATTAGGGTTCATGGTGGAGTTCGAAGGTGAGGGTTCAATAGCTTGGCTGCCCTTACTTGATGATGGTGAGGGGTCTTCAATAGTTTTGCTGCCCTTGCTTGATGATGGCGAGGGGTCTTCATTAGTTTTGCTGCCCTTACTACATTGCCCTCCCATCACATGCAAATGAATCACAGAAGTCGAAAATCAGATGCTTTGCTCGCCACTGCAAAAGCTAAGAACAATCTACCAGAGTATTGTTCAGAAATTTCCCCCAAATGCGAAGCCACCAAGTCCTAAATTACACAAATGCAGCAAAATTGAGGGATCGGAGTAGCTAAGCTAGACCTACAGCCAAAGAGTTCAGAATTTGAAAGCCGAATTATGAAAGAATTGAAGGCCCTATAAGAAAATTTTCTCCAAAGAGCTTCTTTTGGGAAGTAAAAAGCTGATTAAAGCTTCGAAGTACCTGAAGATTGGCCGAATCTGAAGCTGACCCAGGAAAGCTTAATGCCAAAAGTTGCGATCTTGCGAAATGGGAAGGAGGGATTTCGCTCAGAAGCGAAAAAGAGAACCGAGTGAGGCGGCTGGAGAAATGGGGGTTGTGAGAGACTTGAGGAAGAAAGCAAAGAGGAGGAGAGGAGTATTGTTAGAGAAGAGAGAGGGAAACTATGTCGTCGTCAGCTGGCTGAGGTTTAACTTATGGTTGTTTAAACTTTAAATCTTAATTAATCAACTAACTATCCGCGTCGTTGCTTTGTTTGGTTCGTGTCGTCGTTGAATTTTGGTCACTCTTCTCTTTTTCAATTTCTAATTTCATATTTTTATTTGTTTGGTGGCTACTGCCTATTGGCCAGATATGGGAACAAAAGAGCTTTCCAAATGAATCCCAAATTGAAGACTTTTTGGTTAATTACATTGGGTATCCTGAGATTCTGTACAATTTGTGATTGGGTCTTGTATCTTTTGAGTTATATGATTTGGTCCGTCATACATTATATCTTAACTACTTATGTAAGAGTAAGTAATTAATTACTGAGGTGGTGTCAAAAGTCGGATCATGTGGTGTTCAAAGTTATGAGGGGGGATAATTGTTTCATCAAATAATATTTCATTAGTGTAGTATTAGTATGAAGTTGTTCCATTACTCCATAGCCTCAAGATGGATATTATATGAGTTTGTCTCGTTATGTTGTATTTCCACTCAACCAACCTACCAAGTACTGATGAAGCCTATCATTGACTTCGTCTTTTTGCTCGGTGCTCAAATCATTAATATGATCTATGTACCTCGTGTACAATCGTTTTTTATGACTTTAAAATTGATTTCTCAGCCAATATGTTACTGTATCATGACGATATTCATCGTCCATTTTCATAAAAGAACCCCACTTTATAATTTTTTTGTCAGTGACCTTAAACATCGGCTATATCAAATTTCTCACAATGACAATGCATTATATTTCGTAGTTGTTTGTAATAGTGATAGTCTTGATCACCAATCGTCTTTATTTGTAACATCAAGTTTAAACTCCAAAACATCATATTTAGTCACTCTTCCTTTTCAAAAGTATGAATCTATATATAGTATCATTCAGAAACAAAGATATTCATTTTGGAAAGATGAGCTGATTGAACACCTATTATGCCTCATGAATCTTGAAGGACTAGATCGTGCATTACATAGAATGGGAAGACTATATAGCATATTTTGCGTTGAAGAAGGGCTTTACCGGTAAGGGGGCAAATGAAGAGCAGTTCCAATGCGAATGCTTCCTGGAACGAGGAATCAAATGGCCAAATGACTAATCTACCCTTAAAGTTGACTCCAACGAATTTTAGTGGTTGGATAATATGAATATTTTATGTAGTAATGATTAGATTATTCATGCAGATAATCTTCAATCAACTATTAAGCCAAATGCACATTTTTCATTCGTAGGATGGGAATCGGAATCAATGGGAATTGCCGGTAGACTAGGAAATCAAAGAGTTTGGTAATCATCTACCTTCGTCATGTTCCTTATCACTATTTAATATTTATACTTTATAGTCTCAATCAATCAATACTTATTTCTTCTTACCTTCGTCATGTTCCTTATCATGCCTCTTCCAAACTTTGCTCTCGCTACTCTCGCCTTGTTGATCTATTCATCCTCAAATTTTAAATTTTCTCTAACAATGTGCGCATCAGAGGATCCATTGTGCATATTAGCTTTGGTAGTTAAACAATCTCAAATTGCCAGCCAGGCTAGGAATCTATGCCTTCGCTGATAGTGTTGGACATTATCAAGCCACATCAATGAACACTATGTGTCGCGCGCTCTGTAACAAATTTCAAACATTCGTAAAGTTTAATAATGCATCGCGTTGCCGTTCTAAGCAGCGGTATCTTACACCTGCTTTTCTTTATTTCTTGTTCATATGATCCAAATTATATGGAAAATGTTGTATTATTGACTAATTAATCACAATCCTATTACGAAGACTCTTCAAATGATATCAAGATTTTATTGTTAATCACGAAGCACTAGTGATCGTTTTATCACATATCAGAATTTCATTCCCTTGGTTCTTGGATTACTTTCCGATGCATTGCATTCAGCTCTATAATAATGTGGAATACCATATACAATGACGAACCATTTGCCCGTTGCAGGTAAATAGTAGATACAACTTCTTTACGGCTATAATACCATTCTCCATCAACATTACAATTTGAATTTATTCATCCAATGACATCTATTCCCAAATTGTCTTCATGAGGCAAATGAAAGAGACCCGTCAAATGGTTCCTTATTTACAATGACAATAACAGGAGGGAAATTATCAATAACAAAGTCGTTGTAGTATAGTGGTAAGTATTCCCGCCTGTCACGCGGGTGACCCGGGTTCGATCCCCGGCAACGGCGTCTTTTTTTCTTTTTCCTTCCATTTTGCATTTCCCCATCCCCACTCTCTGTTCGACTGTCCCCAGTGTTTCCTTTCCTTTTATCCTTGCTATTATGGCGTTTCATGCTCAGCATTTGCCCACTCATGGAGTCTTGCTCCATGACAAACCAGATCAGTTCTGAGTTCACTCAGAAAGAACTCTCCAACCCATCATACTGAAACTACAACATTCCACATCCATTAATGATCTCACCATTAATTCATGGCTGTCATTTCCACATGTTCTAAACTCTGCTACAAACCATGAGGTAAGTTAACAATCTCCATGCTTACAATAACTCATCTTTCCATAATATTACACAGTGGCACAGATTCCCCCCAATCATCCCCTTTCTGCTCTTACTAAATCAACCCAATTGGTAATTCTACTACAACAAAATCCCACATTACAGAGACCATAATCTGGATTCTCAGTTCTGCCTATAAGCAATGTAATTAGCCAGAGCAATCAAAGGCGCAGCCTTTACCGGATCGAAGCCAACGAGCTGCTCTTTGGCTTCCTCATTCAACTTCTCTGCGAACTCCCTCGATTTCTCAATCCCCATCAGCTTCGGATAAGTCACCTTATCCGCCACCAAGTCCTTCCCAGCCGTCTTCCCCAATTCCTGCGACGATTTGGTCACGTCGAGTATGTCATCCACCACCTGAAACAGCAGCCCGATGTCCCTCGCGTACCGCCGCAGCCTCTCCACTTCATCGTCGCTCCCGCCGCCGAGGATCGCACCCAGAACCACCGAGCCCTCGAGCAGCTTGGCCGTCTTGTGTATGTGGATGAACTCCAGCTCTTTCAAACCCACCTCGGAATTTCCTTCGGAGCTGATGTCCACCACCTGGCCAGCAACCAGACCTTCCCCACCAATCACTTTAGCCAATTCCCCAATCGCCCTCACAATTCGAGATGGGTGCACGTTCCTCGGCGTGGCGACGGCGATGTGCTCGAAGGCGAAGGCGAGGAGGGCGTCCCCCGCGAGAACGGCGACGCTCTCGCCGTACACGATGTGGTTGGTGGGTTTCCCGCGGCGGAGGTCGTCGTTGTCCATACAGGGCAAATCGTCGTGGATTAGGGACATGGTGTGGATCATCTCCACGGCGCAGGCGGCGGGCATGGCCATGGATTCGTTTCCCCCGACCAATTCGCAGGCGGCGAGGCATAGTACCGGCCTCACCCGCTTCCCGCCGGCGAGGAGGGAATACCGCATCGATTCGTGGATCTTCGCCGGCTCTTTCAGCGGGACGGAGGCGTCGAGCGCCTGGTTCACCGAAATCGCCTTCTGCACCATGTAGGACTTGAAATCGAAGGTGGGTTTCGGATTGGATTCTTCTTCATCGAGGGACGATGATTCCTTATCTTCCCTGGTGAGGACGGCGGATACGGTGGCGATGCCCCGGCGCCGTCGATTTGGAATCGAGGAATTGATGGGGAAAGAAAGGGTTTTGAGGGGCGGAGTCAGGGATTTGGATCTGGATCTGGCGAAGAAGACGGAAGACGTGTGTACCCAACAACCCAGATAAACAGAGCAGCTCATCTTTTTCTTTCCTCCCCTTTTCTCCCCAGATTCCAATTCTTCTTATCTTCTTCTCCACTGGGAATTTTTGTAAGCGGAGAAAAAGGGGAACAAAGTGGAAAGTGAGAGAATGGCGACAAATTATGCTTCTTCAGCGATAATGAATGGGCAGAGATTCCCTGTTCATCGACAGCAATGAATGACTGTTAAGAAACTAGAAACTGGACCGAAAATGGAAGGCGACCAGAAAGGAACCCAATTAGGGAAGAAATGAATTCGGCAGAGAAAAGGGATTGAAGTGAAATTTATTGGTCGAGGGATTGAAGGGAATGGCTAGCACGAAGAGCGGAAGAGAGCAGGAGATGTGAATCAGATAGGATTTTTTGGAAGGGAGTGTGGGTGGGAAGGGGAAGGGAAGGGAAGAATCAAGAACGCCGCACACTAAAAACGTTCATTGTGGGTAATGGAATGGCTAATGGGATTGGGACAGCACAAAGCTAGAAAGCGTCTCGTTCCATTCATATGTTCCCATCGAATACAAATTGGTTAGAATACTCATGAAGTAGTAGTCAAAAT